GACGGTAATTGGATTCTATCGATGGATCCTCTTTCTTGAAGACAGGGGATATGTTGGCGAATTTCCACTCTGACGGCACTACACCCAGGGAAAGGGAAGGGTTGAACAATCTGCACAAAGAGGGAGCGATCTCGTGCGCGATTTCTTTCAACAATCTACACGGAATACCGTCTGGTCCACTAGCCTTGTTTGGATCTAAGTTATTCAATACTGCAGCAACTTCTTCTTCAATCAGTTCGATCTCCGATAGCTGATTATCAAGGGTAAAATTTAGAAGGAGTTGGAAAGGAAGCAGGAGGTTTAATGTCGCTGGGGTTAAAAACTGAGTGGAAAAAAGTGTTCAAGAGGTTGGATTTCTCACGACTATCTGTGATATATGATTGTCCATTTCTCAGAAAATTTGGATTTTGGCTTGATCTTGTTGAAGATTTCACGTATGACCAGAAACGTTTAGGGTTTTCGAAAACACTATTTTTCATCTTGTTTGCATGTTCGATCTTCTTTTTAGCGATAAGAATCTTGGATTCACGACGCAACTGTTTGAATTTTGCGATGGCTTCTAGACTCTTCGACTTACGCGATTTCTTTCGCTGAATGTTTTTCTTTTTGAGCAGAGCCAAAAGTTCTTTGTCAATCCAAGGGGGGTCATATTCTGACCCATCTTTTTTTCCCACTTCAGCATAAAAGCTTTTGAGAACTGAAGCAAGTTCTTCGCTCTTCCCTGATTGGTCAAACTTCCTTTCTCGTAGATACTCTTCAAAAATCGCTTTGCTTGCTTTTGTAGCAATTTTTTTTATTTTAGCTTCCCCAAGGTCGGCGAACATTTCCTTAAAGGAAGCCATTTGTATTTTCCCGCTTTTGGCATATAAGCAGCATAAATTAGTGTGACGTCATAATGTCGTATATGTGTTTTCAATATTCAATGGTGATGTCATAACTCCAAATTTGGGCAACTACCGAACGGATATGACGATTTCATCCACAGCTCTTAACCGATCAAAACTCTTGAATTACTTTCAATAAATAATAATAATAATAATAATAATAATAATTATTATTATTATTATTACTATTATTATTATTATTATTATTATTATTATTTCAGATCAAGAAAGTAACTATGATAAGGTAAAAGTTGTCAATGTATCCATAAGCTCGCTGGGTGTTTTTGGTCAATCGACGAAAACCTTAACTGATATGCTCAAGGAACTGAAGTTCGATGAACAACAAATTAAATACATTAAAAAGAAAATCATTGCTACTTGTATTCGCGCATCATATTATGTATTCTGCCAACGAAACAAAGTCTGGGCTAGCCCTGAGCTTTTAAAATTTTGAACGATATTAAATTCCTTATTTTTGTAAATTGATATAATCCAAATATTTTTCAAGTGGTCATCGATAAACTACCTTTATAAGCGAGGTTTATCAATGTAAATATAGTTTTATGGTATATAATGAAATAAATAAATTTTCCATTATTATTATTATTATTATTTTTATTATTATTATTATTATTATTATTATTATTATTTCTCAAAAATCAAGCTTTTAAACGACGTTATATATAACTACTTTGCTGATAACTTTGGACATAACGAAACGGTACTTGACAAAAATATGGTTACTAAATATAAAGAATATACTGTAAAGGAGTTAAAGAAAGCTTTGCAAAATTTAAAATCCAACAAAGGTAACCTTAGTAAAATTAAATACGTCTCCCGCACATTGCGTGATAAGCTTCGTATTAACAACAATGATGGGCTAACCTCTGACAGCAATGAGTCATTCAATCATGACAATTTTATCGTACGGAACTTTGGGGGTTATATTAAAAACGTTATCAATAAGAAGGACTCAATATTACCATCATTTAACGTGATAGATTGCTCCACCTATTTTTCAAAATCTCTGGCTAAAAATAATCCTAGTAGACTGTTTAACATTCCCAGCTGGATTCCAAAGTTATCTGATCCCGAAGTTCAATTTAACTTTGACCCCCCGACTTACCAACAAATTACTGATGTGATACGTAAAATGAAATCGTCTGGCTCCCCTTGCCCCCTTGATCAGCTTTCGATAATATGTTTTAAGCGATGTCCTTATCTGAGAACTTGCCTAAGTGAACTAATTCAAGAAATTTGGCTATCTGGAATTGTCCCGAATGAATGGAAAAAAGCCTGTACTATATTAATACATAAGAAAGGCAACACTGATGATCCGTCAAATTTCCGTCTCATAACACTTGAGTCCATACCATTAAAAGTATTTACATCTTGTCTTCGAAACGCAATATATTCCTTCCTCGCATCCAATAACTTTATCGAACACGGCATACAAAAGGGCTTCACCCCTAATCTATCTGGCACTCTAGAACACACTGCGGAAATGGCTGACATCATTAACAAAGCCCGCATCAGACAACGCTCTGTTGTCATCACCCTACTTGATCGGAAGAATGCTTTCGGCGAAGTCCACCACAATCTCATCCAATCAGTACTCGACTACGACCACATCCCAGAACACATAAAATTCGTTATAAAAAGTTTATATAGTCATATAATAATCTATATATAGTCAGGGGACGAACAACGGTTAAGGTTAGAACAATGGAGTCACGCTTTCATATCGTTCTCTCGCTGTTTTTGATTTTCTGCCTTTCTCGAGGCGGTGTATTACAGCTGAATTGTTATAACGAAGTCAATGTTATTGGGCCTGTAGCATCTCGATTGTCTGATGGGATGTTATTTGGCAGTTATTCAGGATATTTTGCTCAATCTATTCGTCATTGCAGGACAAGGAGTTCATCAGAGCGTATCGGTTTACAGTCGATGTTTTGCCTCAAAATTCCTGTTTACAGAGACGTACGGTAAGCGTGGTGAAACACCTCTGACCGTCTTTGACAAGCGTTTTGTGACTGATCTGACTGTCCATGTGGATGTAGTATCAGATGAGGCGCCAAGTTTATCACCAAATATTGTGTGTGTTTGGTGGCCATCTTGTTTTGTGATACTTAGAGGGCCGGATTTGCATTATAAACTATTCAACTGTGAAATGTATGCCATGTAGGATAAACACAAGTCGGAAATACTCTAAAAAATCTCTAGCATATTACCCAAACTCTGTAGCTACATTTAAAAATGCTGATTATTGCAGGGGATATAGAAAGCAATCCTGGCCCTAATTGCACTAGCAGCAATACGGATACGAACAGTGAAAATATACGGTGTAAAAGATCTTGTTCACGCCTATGGGCCTCGTTTCAATGTTTGTTGACGACCAACCCACGCGCCTTCAATACTTGTATTTGGGGACTGTATATTAAATGTTACATGAAGTACACACCACTCACAATAACGAACGGTTTTATTTTTCACGCGTTCAAAAACAGTCAAATCTTCTTGATTCAAGCCAGCCAACAGAGCAATACAAAATCGACAATAATAACAAGTTTTCACGATCCAAAAGCGTCCAAAACAGCGTACAAAACGACCAATTTCCTTTTAAACAACTCAGTTCTCTCAAAACGTCACGACAACGTTGGTTCTTGAGCCCGCAGTATAATAAACGCATACTTCATATAAAGTTTCTCAACGCCCGTCCATCACTCCTCCCCATCGTTCGTCTCGATTTCATCGGGGCGACGATCGTATCCGCATTCCTCTTCGAGAAGACATAATTTCGTAACTGGTCTGGTATAAACACCATTGCTAGTCTTCACTTTGGCAGCTCGAACTCGTCCATCTTTTCCAGGACATGTTTCAACGACTCGTCCTAACTTCCACTCGCCACGTAGAAGACCCGGATCTGCTATGAGAACAACGTCGTTAACTGAAATGTTCCTTTCCTCGTTCCGCCATTTCTTCCGGGAGATGAGATTAGGCAGGTAGAGCTTCACCCACTGCTGCCACACGACATTTGCTAAGTGCTGGGTCTGTTTGAAACGACCTTGAAAGTTTGGTCGGCTGTACTCTCCGAGTGGGACAACTGGCGAGCGTCGATGTAACCAAAAGTGGTAGGGTGTCAGAGCCTCTATGTCCTCAGGATCGCTGCTGACGTATGTTATCGGTCGTGAATTGACGAATCGCTCGACTTCGGCAAAGAGAGCGGACAACTGCAAATCTGTAGGGTTACTTCTCTTTGGTCCTCCTTTTGGATTCAGGGTACGGTTAAGTGCTGTCTTGACTGACTTAACTAAGCTCTCGTGTACTCCTCCCCAGTGAGGGCTTGCAGGGGGTTGGAACTTCCAGGTGATTCCTTCTCCAATTCTAGCTAGGCGGGTTTGAAGTTCTTCACTATGATTTAGTTCTCTAACCATCGACTTCAATTCAGAGACTGCGCCGACGAAGTTCGTCCCGTTGTCACTGTAGATAGATCTTGGCTCTCCACGCCTCGCCATCATCTTGTGAAGAGCTTGTAGGAAGTCAGGGGTGGATAACAATTCAGCAACTTCCAAATGAACACATCGAGTCGTCATGCATGTAAACAGGGCGCCGTATCTCTTCGCCTTCGTGTTTCGAGTCAACTTGACTTCGATTGGCCCGAAATAATCCACAGAAGTGTGGTAAAATGCTGGTTGCATGGCAGTTATTCTTTCGACAGGAAGTTCACTTAGTAACTGACTGCCAGGCTTCGCTCGTTCTTTCTTACACTGGGTGCACTTTCTCTTGAAACTCTTGACTTCCTGTCGTCCGCGAATTATCCAGAACTTTTGACGAATTGCGGCCAAAACGTGGTCAGTTCCTCCGTGTTTTTCGAGCCGATGATAGCTCCCGATAATCAGCTGGGTCAAACGGTGTTTCTGAGGTACGAGGATCGGGTGTCGCACTTCGTAAGGTAATTGAGCTCGGTCAAGTCTTCCTCCAACACGTATTACGTTATTCTCGTCGAGGTAGGGTGTAAATGACAACATTTTTGATCGCTTGCTGACACTTTTCGTTCTTTCCAAGGATTGGAGCTCGTCGGGGAATGCCTCTCGTTGACATTGGCATACTAGGGCAGTCAGTCCAACTCGTAATTCTTGTACGGTTACGACACTACTCTTTGGTTTCTTTCCTTTACATACATTGAAGAAACGATGAACTAACGCTGCTACTCGCTGTGCTTTCGACAGGGACGAAACTCGCTCTAAGTCGACGTCAGCATAGACGGGAACACGCTCTGGGTTGGATTTGGCAACGAATATTTTGCTTGGTTTGATTTCTTTGTGTTGCTGTAACTCTTCGACAGGCATTTCCTTTGGCCAGTTATCTTCACCTTGATAAAGGAAATCAGGACCAGTGAACCAACGCACGGGAATCAATTCCGATCGCTCATCAAATCTCGAACGGGTGGCACAGTCACTTACATTCAGTCGGCCAGGTACGTGGCGCCAGGACTTTGGGTCTGTCAACGTTTGGATTTCGCCAACTCGGTGGGCGACGAACGGCTTATACCAAACTGCAGTAGATCGTATCCAACCAATAACACATTTACTGTCCGTCCAAAAGAACACGCGGTCAATGTGTCGTGTCATAGCTTCTTTAACATAATTCGCTAGGCGAGCACCTAGAAGGGCAGCTTGCAGTTCAAGCCTTGCTACA